GACAGGACTGCCCAGGTCATTACCATAATTTAGGCGCTGGAGGAAGATCAGCTTTAGCCCTTCTTGTACTGGCTGCCCCTCCCAGGGGAGGTTGGAGTCAGAGCTCTCAGCCCTAAGTCTTTCCCTCGAACGAGGAGGCAGCCTGTGCAGAGATCCCTGGCTCAGGATCCAGGTCCCGCAAGCCCCTTATGCCAGAGACCTAAGATGTTAGTATGTGTCCTCCCACTCTTTTCACAGAGGTCCTGCGACATGCCCCTCAGTGGTCGGTGTTCAGGGTCCTAGCCTGTGCTCCCACCGCTTTCCACTACAGCCTCCTGAGTCCGCCCCCCCCCCCCCCCTCGCCACACACACTCCAGTTTGAGCAGCTCAGGAAATGTTAACTTAATAACAGAAGTGCCTCACACTCCCATCCTGTTGCTCCCATCAAGGCCAGACTTTGACCAAATTTTGTAAACAAGGTACACTTCCCATCCAGGAGGGAATTGAAAATGGAAATTTGGACCTGAGAGCCTTGGGAACCTGGGCATCATTCACGTGTCCAACTAAGTGTTGGAACACCAACTAGATGCCAGGCCTTGGAGATGATGATTTGGGCCCGAGGAGACCTCTGAACGGGGGTATAGATTTGGGATACATTCATTCATTCAGCCATTCAACTAAGTTGGTGAGCATCCATCCCTCATCACACATTGTTCTGGGATGAGGGCGGTAAATAAAGCACAGGGGGTTTGAAGCCATGGGCGTAGATGGAAGGGGAACAGGAGAGAGCCAAGGATGGAGCCTGGTAGGGCATGGGCGAAGGAAGGGTTGTCTCCGAGAAAGCTTGAAAAGGAACATGCATGGGGGAGGAGAACCAGGACTGGGCGCTATCCTCAAACCAAGAGGGAAGCATTATAAGAAGGAGTTTGTGGGGGAGGCAGTCATGTAAAAGGATTGGGGTGCCAGTGGACCCCATTCCCTCTTATAAGGGCATTTGCCACCTTGCCTGGATTCTAAACATGGCTATATGATACAGTAATGAAATGTAGAGAATCAACAAAGAAAATTGGAGAGGAATGTATTTCGTGTGTCTTTCCTGGACCTTTGGAAATCCCACAAGTTTTTCCCTTTTATCTCTGACTAACTAGTTACTACTAAGGCAAGATCGTGGATAACATTTTAAGGTTCTTCTCCGGGAGGGATTTACATCTTAAACTAGGCAAATAAAAATAGTCTGCTGGCAAAACTTCAGCTATTGCAAAGGAGGTGGTCTTTAGGTGCTCCTGAAGTTACAATGTTAAGTGTTTCCCTGATTTGGGCTGCTGTCCACCTCCTGTTGCCTTAACACGGTTAGAGCCAACTGCTCAGACTTCACCCAGGCCAAGGAAGTCCCATATTGAAAAGTCCCCCTTCCCCCCCTTCCACATGTTTTATTGCTACAATCCTGGCCCCCTTTTTCTTTCCAGTCTGCCGGAGGCTGGGTCCTTCCTTCTTTTTCCCCATTACTAGACCTGGAGTTGAGCAAATTTTGGTTGAATTAAATCCCATGAACCAGGGGGGGTCTCAGCATTGGGTTAAGTTCACCCGTAAATCCGCTTGTCATTGCTAGGCCCTTCCATGTTTCAGTGAATGTGTGTGTGTGTGTGGGGGGGGGGGGGCGGGGGCCGTGTT